ATAGAAAGAATCGGTAGATTTAAAGAGGATGAAAATTCATATTAATACTTCTGAAGAGAAATAAAGCAATTCTGAAAAAAAATTTTACGAAAATTTAAAAAAAAGAAGTTAAAGAAGTTGAAACATAGTGTCATTTTTAAACTTTATAATTGAACTCAAATACATTTTTATTGATTATTTTAGGATTTCGTGGAAGTTGTTATAAAAATAATTATAATTATTATCCAGTTGAACTTAGTGCGGGCTGGCTGGATTGTGATTCTATTCTTGTGGCCTGATCTTTCCGTTAAAATGACATTTTTCAGGAAACAGATTTTTTCTTACAAAAAAAAAATCTTTTTTAAATACGTCTTATTCTTTATACTTGGCAAAATATGTTTTTTTTTGTCAGAAAATTGATGCCATTCAGACTCTCTGAAAATTTCGGACGAATGTTTCTAAACAAAAACCACAATCGGTCGTACAGAAACGCAGGTTTGCACTGTGTTTGGGCCAAAAAAAGATTATTTTTCTGAAGGCTGATGAGCCTAAAGTAGTTACTGCGAGCTAATAGGAAAAAAGTTGTATCAGCCGCGCCCATATAAGGCTCAAAAGTTTACAAATTGCTTAAAATTGCTTCAAAAATTGCTTTTTCTGTTTCAGAAAAACTGATGCATATAATAATCATACGGGATGTAAGCCGATTTCCTCTCGATAAAGGATTGAGTTGGAGTGCTTGTTGTTCAATCAGCTTGAAAGAACTCCAGCTTAAACGTTTTATGCCGGATTGATTTTAAGCTATATGAACTCCAGACACCCTGACAAAATCCTTTATCAAAACGAAATAGGGTCACATGATTAAACTTTTATCAATTTCGATGCTCTTCATGATTTTTTGTTCATTTCAGAACGGAACCCCAGTGCCTTTCGAGCCTTTTGAGTCAGCATACAGACTCTATTCGGACGACTACCAGAAACTAGCTCCGAATCACCTTAGACCCAAAACCCCAGACGAACTATCACGAACTACTCAAATGGAAAACCAAAGACTATCTGAGTCTGAGTACAAACAAAACGAAATAAAGCCACTGACAAAATCACTGTCGTCACAGCCAGTTGAAGATAATGATCAAATTATTGCTTGCGAGGCAGCTTCGGATGTCCGATCCCAGCCTGGCGACGGCGCCAGTCCAGTGCTGGTCGAGAACGACAAAGGGCCTCAAAGTCGAAAAGGAAGTCTACCCTCTCAGAGTTCAAACACTACATCGCACTTCACAGCTGACGGTGACACCAACAGTCCTAGTCCTGCTGAAGGTGCAAGTGATCAGTCTGGTCTGGAAATCAGCGACGACGAAGGTAGCCAAACTTTAACAGATCAGAAAGCCGAAGTTTCAAAAGACGTGCTCCCTCTTCCGATTCGTGTTACCGAAAACAATTCGTTTGATCGCGACACAACACCTGCTGGAACGGGGTCGTTTTCCCTAAGAACCTTAGAGTCTGCTTACAGCACAGATGAAGAAAAATTGGGTTTAACAGCTATTAATAATTCGAATACGAGCCAGAGTCAGAGTCAGAGTCAGAGTTTGACTTCAGGCTCAGGAAATTCGGACCCGAGTGATGTTGCAACATCGTCGGCAAACACTACAAGCGACCAGTCGCCGACTACTAACGACACAGCCACCCACGAGTCCAAGGATACTGTAGGCAGATTGATTGAACAGCTTGGACGAAAAATTGAAGAAAAACCGAATCAAGCGCCAGTGATTCAAGCAAAAACTCCAGCTAAAGTTGAAGAGCCACCAAAGGAAGAGCAACAGAAAGATGAAAAGATAAGTGTAACAGTAACTGATGTTACAACAGGGGGAACTACGACCACTGGTAGCGCGACTACTTCAGAAACGCATAGTTCAACCAGTATAGGGACCACATCTTTAGGAAGTAAGTACAGTTCTTCGGCATTTATACTTGACGAAACCGATCACGTGATATCATCTGCCCAGCCGCCAATGAACAGTCAGACAGCTTCGCTTAGCCCTGAGACCAAAAGCAGTAACGATTTGAGTACAGTTCCTGAGAAACAGGAAAAAGTTCACGAGCTGCCGACGCCAGTCGAGATCCAAAACGATGAATCAGTACAAGAATCGAAGAGTCCAGAAATCCAAGAACCCCAGAAATTAGTACCTGGGAGTGAAAATCTTGCCCAAGGTCAAACTCATCCACCTGCGTTTGGTCAAACCGTCCCGGAAGAAGAAACAGTTCAAATGGAACGTGTTAAACAAATACGCTCGTCAAGTCCCCGAGCTGAAAACAACTCGTCTGATCCGAACATGTCTTCGGGTGGGTCAGTTTTTACCAACCAACAGTTTGATCAACTTAGTGAAGACAATAGTGCTTCAAATCAGAATTTCGTAGCGTCTCAAAATACGTCGAAAGATTCTAGGAGTATCAGGTCAGGATTAGAAAATGCCCAAATAAGGAAAGGACCAGACTCTTCAGTAGGGGGAACGATTACTCCTGAATCGCTGAGCGACCTTTCGGATCCCTCCTCTACGACGCCCGATTTTGCCGACAAAACTCTCGTGAGCGACACTCGTTCGCCTTCGGAGATCTCTCGTGACGACAAAGGGCAGAGGCAACGCACGCTTCCTTATTACGACGTCTCATCGAGTTCAAAGAGCAAAAAGTACACAAACGTCCGAAACGTTGGCTCTAATAAAAGCATAACTAAACCTGTAAATGAAGAAAATCAAGAAGATATTTTAGCTGACCAAAATGTTCCCCCAGAAAAAATGGATAACAAAGAGAGTGCAGCTTTAGTAGCATCCCCAAGTAACAGAACTCAAGTTTCAGAACTGCAGCAGCAACAGGATCTCAACTCTAAAGAAGGATTATCAGATGGAACCACGACATTTGTCAAGGAACCTCTAACAACAAAGGCCAGCGATAGTGCCAGCATTCGAACTGCTCATCTGAAAAGAGTACGAACTGGAAGCAAATCGAAACAAAGTACTCCAGCTCCCAGTTTGAAATCATCAATGAATATCCGAACCAACGCAGATGAAACAAGCTCAGTACCTGAATCTCTAACTATAACAGCAAGTGCAATTAGCCCAATAAATGCCTCGACAACGGGTGAGGTTCGGAAAGCCGAGTTGAAAACTTACGAGTCCGAAAGCAATCGGCAGTCGGAACCCGTAATGCGAAGCATACATGAAGATTCGGGCGAGAAACGGTACTTGAGACGAAAGTCGTCGGGATCTCTTGAGTACGAGTATTCATTCATTGGAAAGCATGATCACGCCAACTTGTCTGGTATGTCGCGAAACGAACGATCGAAAGTTTTAACCGACGAAGAAAAATATGAACTAGACAACCGAGTACTCAAAGTCCAAATCGAAAGTCCGATACACTCTGACAATAAAGTCGCAACGGTGGAGACTAATTCAGTAATATCGGAAGGAAATCTTGACAAAAATCAGACCGCTTATGAAAATCTTACAGCAACGAAAGGAAAAGAATCTACCGATTTTTTTACTGATGACAAAGCTGGTAAATTGAAGCCTATCAGTTTGACTTTAAGCAGCGAAAGTGAAGCAATTGTTTCGACAAAAGTTTCGGCCGAACCAAAAGTGATCTCCTCCGAAATGGAGCTTAAACGTGAGGCGAGTGGTCACAAAAGCCAAACCTCCGAAAGCTGGCTAGACACAGAAACAGGAGACAAAATAAAACTACCCGCATCGAGGAAGTACGTGAAAACTCTTGATGATATGAAGAACAGTGATAGAAGTTTCATGACTGAAAGTCACAGAAGCTCAGATCAGAGTCAAGACCAGTCCGAGAGCTGGCTAGATACTGCAACTGGCAAATCCGAGTACGCCACTTCAAGAAACCAAATGAGCCAAAATGCGATGCATCAAAATGACAACTTTGACAACGAAGATAAAAGCGTTAGCGCTGTTCGGTCCAAAAATACTGAGCTGAAATCAACAAACTCTTTGGTTGTAAGAAAGAACCAGAACGGTTTCACCAAAAAATTGGAAGATAAAAACTATAAATTAGAAGGCCAAAAAGAAAATCAGTCTTTCAAAACAAAAGAAAACGGATCCATTATTGAAACGGCAGATTTTTCGGAAGGACAAAACAAAAAAGCGACAGTAGGAAAAACGAGTTCCCGAACTGGTAGTCATCAGACACAATCGCGGGAATCGTTGTTAGATATAAAGAGTACCAGCTACAGTCTGAAAAGTAGATCAGCAGTTCAAAGTACTGCGAGTCGCTCAGCATTACGTACTGTATCTACATATGACAACAGCAGCAACCCAACGGACACAAGCGTCAAGTCAAGGACCGACCAACAAGACCCAGTAGGTAACGTAGAACAGACAAGTCAACTTGACACTACTGCGAGTCGCTCAGCAATCCATACACTAGCTACAAATGACAAAAGTAGCAAGCTAATGGATACAAGCGTCAAATCAAGGACCGACCAACAAGACCCAGTAGGTAACGTAGAACAGACAAGTCAACTTGACACTACTGCGAGTCGCTCAGCAATCCATACACTAGCTACAGATGACAAAAGTAGCACGCCAAAGGATACGAGCGTCAAATCAAGGACCGAAGAACAAGATCCAACAAATACAGCAGAACAGACAAGTCAACTTGGCAGTACCGCGAGCCGCTCAGCATTACGTACGGTATCTACATATGATGGAAGCAGCAAACCAACGGATACGAGCGTCAAATCAAGGACCAACCAACAAAACCCAACAGTTACAGCAGACCAGACAAGTCAACTTGGCAGTACTGCGAGTCGCTCAGCGTTGCGTACGGTATCAACATATGATGGAAGCATCAAACCAACGGATACGAGCGTCAAATCAAGGACCAACCAACAAGGTCCAACAGTTACAACAGGCCAGACAAGTCAACTTGGCAGTATTGCGAGCCGCTCAGCATTACGTACGGTTTCTACATATGATGCGAGCAGCAAACCAACGGATACGATCGTCAAATTAGGAACCAATCAACAAGACTCAGTAGGTAACGTAGAACAGACAAGTCAACTTGACACTACTGCGAGTCGCTCAGCAATCCATACACTAGCTACAAATGACAAAAGTAGCAAGCTAATGGATACAAGCGTCCAATCAAGGACCGACCAACAAGACCCAGTAGATAACGTAGAACAGACAAGTCAACTTGACACTACTGCGAGTCGCTCAGCAATCCATACACTAGCTACAGATGACAAAAGTAGCACGCCAAAGGATACGAGCGTCAAATCAAGGACCGAAGAACAAGATCCAACAAATACAGCAGAACAGACAAGTCAACTTGGCAGTACCGCGAGCCGCTCAGCATTACGTACGGTATCTACATATGATGGAAGCAGCAAACCAACGGATACGAGCGTCAAATCAAGGACCAACCAACAAAACCCAACAGTTACAGCATACCAGGCAAGTCAACTTGGCAGTACCGCGAGCCGCTCAGCATTACGTACGGTATCTACATATGATGGAAGCAGCAAACCAACGGATACGAGCGTCAAATCAAGGACCAACCAACAAAACCCAACAGTTACAGCAGACCAGACAAGTCAACTTGGCAGTACTGCGAGTCGCTCAGCATTACTTACGGTATCAACATATGATGGAAGCAGCAAACCAACGGATACGAGCGTCAAATCAAGGACCAACCAACAAGGCCCAACAGTTACAACAGGCCAGACAAGTCAACTTGGCAGTATTGCGAGCCGCTCAGCATTACGTACGGTATCTACATATGATGCGAGCAGCAAACCAACGGATACGAGCGTCAAATTAGGAACCAATCAACAAGACTCAGTAGGTAACGCAGAACAGACAAGTCAACTTGACACTACTGCGAGTCGCTCAGCAATCCATACACTAGCTACAAATGACAAAAGTAGCAAGCTAATGGATATGAGCGTCAAATCAAGGACCGACCGACAAGACCCAGCAGGTAACGTAGAACAGACAAGTCAACTTGACACTACTGCGAGTCGCTCAGCAATGCGTACGGTATCTACATATGACATAAGCAGCAAACCAATGGATTCAAGCGTCAAATCAAGGACTGACCAACAAGACCCAGCAGGTAACACAGAACAGACAAGTCAACTTGACACTACTGCGAGTCGCTCAGCAATGCGTACGGTATCTTCATATGACATAAGCAGCAAACCAATGGATTCAAGCGTCAAAACAAGGACCGACCAACAAGACCCAGTAGGTACCATAGATCAGACAAGCCAGCTTGGAACTGTTGCGAGTCGATCAGCGATGCAAACGATATCTTATGTTGAAGCAAGCAGCAAAGCGATAAGCGCCACAGTTAAAGTCAAGCATCAACAACCAAATGAACATCTTGGTAGTCTTTCCAGTCGTTCTGCAGTTTGTACATTGTCGTCTAATGAAAAAAATTACTTGCCCATGGAAAAAAGTGTTAGAACTAACTTGACCCGGAGTAGTCCAGTTGCAGAGACCAGTCAAAATATGAAAACAAAAAGTGATGGTCCATCTGGTGTCAGTGTAACGAGATCTATTGTTAAATCTTCTCAAAATTCAAGGAACAAAAACAAACCGAATTCGGAAATCAGCAAGAGAGAAGCAGGCCAAAACTTTGTCGACGATGAAAATGAGAGATCATTTTTGGCTGGAACACCAGCCGTGCAATCCATATCTAGGTCAGAGGGTGGAAGTCGTCCCGCATCAGTGAACAGTTTTGACACCTACTCGCATTCGGCTAGAGGTCACGAAGACGTTGTGAGTAATTCGCCTTACCGAGAGATAGAAATTGACCGCTTAGATGTCCACTCCGAGAGAAACTCACGAGCTCACGAGTCGAGTTATGGAACTGTGAGTGAGCCAATCGGAGCCGATATGAACGACGAGTACTATGGCAGTGGCGGTGACATAACTTTACACGAGAGTTTAGCTAGCCGAAGTGCGATAACGCCGATGCATGAAACTGTATCCGACGGGAAAAACAGTAGTGATAACACGTACTCATGGCTAGCAAGTACTAGCCAGACCCCCGAATCAACCATAACCGATTTCAAGACAGCGAAACCCGAAACGAGTTTGAGCACGACTGAGAGTGTCGCGGAACGAGACGCGATGACTCCTATGGAAAGAGTGTCCGATTACGGCGACAGCGAGGAGGATCACGACTTTCTGCCGACAGAATCACGTGACGTCTGGAGCAGCGAAAAGAACAACAAAACCGAATTGCAGACAGTTCCCTCTACGGCGGAGTCAAGGTCAAAAGTTCAGTCGGGGTCAAAAGCATCACAAAGAACAATGTCCTTAACTGAACATATGACAGAGGTAAGCCAGGCGAATCAAAGCAACAGGCTGTACTCTGAGTATACGAGACGAAAACAGCAAAAAGAGCTCGGCCGAAATGAAGGGAAAAGTCCGGACTACACTGGCAGAAACTCAAATAGCGATTTCAGGTCACATTCGAGATCCAGTTCCGTTCTTCAGACTAAAACGCCTTCATTCGGAGGTTCTAGAAAAAGTCAATCCTCCAAAGACAGAACTAAATTAAGCCTCGGAACTCGAAACGAACTCGAAACGGAGTCGCGAAGTAGGAAGAAAACCGAATCGGCAGCGACTAATGACTCGTCGTCTTTCGCCCCGAGTGCCAGTGCTGTCCAAACTATGACCCGATCAATCAGCAATCCTAAAGTGAATAACAGCTCAAAAAATAGTTCATTGGAACTAAAAAACGACCAATTAACAAAAACAAACTCTGAAAAAGATTCAACCAATATAGTGAGAACTGTTGCTTTTGACGAAGAGCCTAGCGGCGATGGATCCATAACATTGCGCAATGATATCGACACCGATTATCAGGAGCTGGCGCAAGGTCAAAGGATCAAAAGTTCACCGAATGACACTAAAGCGGATTCAAATTACAATAGTTATTATTATATTCGAGTACCCGAGGAAAAGTCTTCGGAAGGAAAGCAAAGTCAAGTGAGTTTTGAAACGAGTGGCGCCTTCAGTAACACAGCTGTTGACAGCATACCTTCTGGTCGCTCAAACCGAACCAAGACTACAGTTTACACTAAACCATTCAGTCCTACGTCATCCGATCGGATAAGCAACATTGCTGATTTGTCGCATGCAGATTCCAACGACAGCGACTATAACACTCTACAAGTTAAGACTGCAACGTCGCCAAAAGCTACCAAAGGTCCAAAAACTCCTAGAAGTTCCAACCTTGCAATGAGTCCCAACCCTTTAAAGAGCCCAAAAACAGTTAAAACGAGTGTTGTTAGACCTGTTAATGAGGAGTATCCAATAACTCCTCGGAACTCTTTCGCTGACCAGAAATCTCAAAGATCTCAGGAGAGTTTATTGTCCTCTAGACCTGGAACCCCGACTCCCAGAATTGATATACAGTCCACTACAGCACCTAGTCGCGGAAGACTGGAATCGACTGGAAGGAGAACTCAGAGCCAAGAGTCTATTGATGAAGTGGAAGTTGAAGACGAGGAGTCGATGTCTGGACCCCAGGGGGCAGAATGGACGGAAGATGTTGCCTCCTCGCTCCCGCCTTCCATTCAATCTGGCAAGACTTCCAGTCGCAAAGTGAACTCAGACCTCGCTAACACTGTCATCACAGAGGTAACCAGAAAGTTCATTTTATATTCTTCTTTAAAAAAAAGATGAATCAAACATGACATATCCCTTATTTTTGGCGCACATATACCAATTTCAATACAACAATAAACTAAAGATCAAGATGCCAGTAAAACTTCGACCGTAAAAATTAAATGGTATCCAGCTGCATGGGATGAGCGGCTATTTCTTTATATTGGCTAATTATTTTGATTTCTTTAGGTCAGCTCGAGCGACGAAGTCTCGAAATCATTAGGCCAGGAGACAACATCAGCCGCTGCTACTACAGACGTAGGAGGAGAGACCGAGAGTGGGGGGATCGAAACAGAGACCACTGGAGGTAGCAGTGGGTCCGACACAGGGACCAGTTTTTCCACTGCAAATGAAAAAGATATGAGCGATTCTAGTAGTAAAAGTGGGAGCTCGCATCTGAAACCCAAGAGCTAACGAACCGACTTTGAAATTTATTTTTGGAGTTTTCGCTTGATTTCATTAAGAAAAATTTTGGAGTTTTTGATTTTATAAAGGAAAATATTAATACTTAGAATTGGCGTTTTGAGAGAGTGCCTCACTATTGGTGCTTTAATGATTAAGATTAGGACCTCGAGGGAAAGGACCAACATACGAGTTGTTCAGCTCATCATGGAAAACCGCTGTTGTGCCTCTGCTTAAAAACTTGAGTTTAGGTCCGGGGTAGCCTTCTCGTAGAGCAATTTCGGGTAGGGTACACCGTCTGTTTGTCACGCTATCTATTTTCGGCCGGATAGATTCGTGCAACTTCTTAGTCTAATACCAATCTTAATCTTACTCTTATATCTCCTAGTCTCAATAGATCTAAAACTATACTGGTTTTTAGCAAAGTTAGAGGAGAAAAGACATGCAACTGATATCAATCTTTTATTCTAAGTTCTCTGAACCACTGGGGCTTCAGTTTTACTAATTTAAAGTAAGTTTTAGTCATGGATCATGATTGGTTAAAATTAATATTTTACAGTGAAGTACTTGTAAAGTATAAAATAAAAATAACTAGCTTCAAACTGGTTCCAAATTAGTTGAAGTTAATGTTTTCATTTGTACAGTGAGAAATGTAAAAAAAAACATTCGGTTTTTGTCGATATTTTTTCGGTCAACACTTTTGATCCTCCTAGATTCTAAAGGCGCGTTAGATTTTGCTCAAATTAGATATACACGTATAAACTGTTGAGACTTTGCAAATATAAAGTTTTCGCGCAAGTTTCTGAAACCTATTGATCTCAAATGCAGTTGTTGGTTAAGATACCGGTTTGAACTTGGCCTTGTTAAACTGCAGGTTTGATGTGTTTTGCTAAGAATTGATAAAAATGCAAACAGTACACCTCGTATGAGGACGAAGCCCTGCATGTTCTGTCTACTGCCTTTTCTTTGAGAAATGAGAAGTATTTGGTTTTAAAAAAATCGATAAATAGTCAAAAAAGGTATATTTTTCCAAATAATTCACCCACACGCTATTCACATTACAAGATGAGACAAACTTTACCCATTAGAGGAAATGGCCTCTCTCATTTTAATTCGGAACAGTTTAGGTCGCCGCTTATTCAAAAATAGGACAAAATTCGCCGCGTAATTGCTTTTCAAGTTGGCCAAGTTGCCACTTCTCAAACACCCAGAATTTTCTTTGGTGAAAGTCGAAATTTCTATGGTTAGAAAAAAAACACGTAGAGCACAAATATTCCATATCTTTCTTCGAGGGTCAGAAGTACAAAACTGCCTGCATCAATATGTACATCCCCGATTATTCCGACTTCCGACTGCCCTTGAAAGTCCGTAGTAGTTTTGAGTTGCAAATCATCCCTCCAGACGTCATGTAAATTCCCAATTGATTTATTTTGCATAGCTTTTCTTTTAAAAAGACCAAATTATTTGTTCTCGTTCGACATGAACTGGATTGATTTTTCGACTGGTTTATTTTGCCACCTGAACTCAAAAAGACCGAAATACATCGCACGTTATTTAGACAGATTTTAAAATTTTAAGTTAATTGAACTGTCTTTTTTGATACAAAAAATTTCCACTAACCGCTTATCATGGTTTAGTTCAGTCCCCTAAAGTCCATTCAAACCCCTTTTTTTACCCGTACGCTGCGCCAAGATAAAGAAAAAAAAGTGTACGGTCAATGATAGGTTAGAACCTTCAGAACTGATAAATTGGATTAGATGGGATTGTTGTTCTAGCTGGTATCATATCAATTGTGTAAATATTTCTCTTAGCGACTCTAAAAGACCGATGGTTTGACTGTCTTTTTTGCATTGATGTTGAATCTGCTAATATAGCAACAATAGGTAATTATTTAGTGCTAGACATTTGTGTTAAAATTGCCATCTCAAATGTCCGAGTACTCAAGGGAGTACCAAAAGACTCGCGTGTTCCCTTGGTGGAAGGTCCACGGGACAAAACAAATTATATCCTATACAATGTAGAGGACGTTAAAAAATGCAAAGTTTTTTAAATGTCCTTCTTGTTTTTTTTTTGGAGCAACCAAAAAGTAGTGGACGCAAACAAACCACAAACAAGAGCTCTATGATAATTTAATAATTCGAGCAAATGCCATTTCAATTTCCTAACACCATCCCCAAGTTTCAAGCCTACCTCTGTGTTTTTGGACGAACGGATCAGGAGCAGGCCCCGATAAATCAAGTCCTCAAAATTTTAAGGATTTTGTTAGTATGGCAGTGCAGCAATCAATTTTCTGAAATGTTTCGCTAAATTCGCACTTTTCAAACAGCCATAGTCATAAATTAGCATCATCTTGTATATAGATGATGGAAATTTAACCAACGACTACCAGGTAGTACTCTAGAACCTCAAAACTTTCTGAAATCAGAACAAACTTGCGGCCTGAGATTGAACAAGGGAAAGTGCGAAAAATGTTTATTGGGACCGACCACGAGTACAGAAAACAATTCTTTTTTAACTCAATTTTAAAAAAATAACCCAAAAAAAATTAACAAAAGAAGAGCTTTTTATAATAGGATCACAATTGGCGAACTTTGTCGGAAAGAATTGCTCGACGAAAAAATGAAGGAGCTTGATAAAATCTCGGATGTCATTTTCAAACAAGACGCTCATTATGAATTTTACATTCTAAAATTTAGTTTTAACATATCAAAACTCCTATATTTTTTTGTGTACGAGCCCTTGTTCATGGCAAACTGATTTTTTGGAACGCTATGGCAAAATACTAAGAAACACGTTATACATGATCACATTTATTTGAAAATGTCTGACAACCAGTTTTACGAGCAGTTCTCCTGGCAGTCAAAGAATATTTTGGTTTAGAACATGTGCATGGAACCTATAAGGATGCGTTTAAATGGTGGTTTGAACATGAAAAGTTGAAATTGCTCCGGTAAACGAAACCCAAAAAAAAGATGACAGAGCCAGTTTTTGACAGCGAGGCTGCAGACTTGATTTTAAAACTCGACCAAATGGACCTAAAAGATTGAATGAGTTCCAAAATAGCTTTGGCTCGCAATGTTTGAACGTCATCCGTTGCAAAAACTTTTGGTTGAAACTATCAAACCGTTAACTCAAACTCGCAATAGGTTTTCGATTAGGCTCTAAAATTTGCGAACAACATAAGTGCGTATGCGGAAGAGACGTTACCGAAGATGGCTGGTATCGCCTTTATTTCCTCAAAAATACAAGGAGATTCTCTAGGCATACACACCTGATTGCCTTTATAAAGCAGAGTTTATCCTCTACTCACATTCTTCCGTTTTAGAGCCACGACCCCTCTACATGACCGATCAGAAGCGACTAGATGGTTTGACGCACGTTCTATGGGCTGCTGATACGCAGTTAATGTGGGACCGATTTTAATCCTGGTATAGCTGCCGCTGAAGCAGAGGAGCAAAAAAATTTCAAGAATAGAGACTTAGTAGATGATGGATTTCTTTTTCAACCGATAGCTTTTGAGATTCAGGGCGCGGCCAGCTCCAGCACGGAACTCTTTTCCAACAATCTAAGTAAAAAGCCAAGCCAAGCACATATACTGAGGAATCTAATGCATGCCGCTTTTAAAAGCAGAGAATCTCACTGGCAATACAAATTGCGAAGGATGCTTGCAAACTCGGCACAATAAATGACAAAAACAATTTCGAGGAAATTTCTAGTTTGTAATACATTATCTATATATAAATATTTATATATACTTTCTCATGTCAAGTTGAGTGTTGTCATTGAAGGAACGTAACCCGTATCAAGATTTTTTAAACACATCAAAACTAATCATCTCATTCTTTACATAATAAATTCCATATCTAGATACCTCCAAGGAATTTGACTGTAATATGTGACAAAGAGACCCCTGACTGTAACCTCGGTTACTCTGATACTACTGACCTTCTGTTCATCTACTTCAAAACTTAAAAATTACTGGATTACAATGAAATTTTTAACATCTAAGTAGTAAAATTAAACCCAAGTTTCAGCCAAAGTTGCTGCTTCAGCAACTAAGCCGAAAATCATATGCAGACAAACAAGATTCCGACAGTATTTTATAAGGCGCGGCCATTGTTCCCAAAACAGCAAGCCTCTCAAACATTAGCGAATAATATTTTCAAAAAAAACCACCTCCGTAAGAATAACAAAACATTACGAGGCCAAACTGTGAACTGGATAGGCGCATAACATTGTGTCTCTATGTTCCCGGACTCTAGAGAAAGTTCTTTCAACAAATTCAGACTTTGTCGGAACAGCCAAGGAGAACGAACTAAAATGAGCGTCCTTGTTACGGCATCCGCTTACAATCCACAAAATACTCAGTTTCACCTCGTAATGTAGGAAAAATTATAAAATTTTATTTAGATTGTTTGCCTTCTTACTGTCCCAATAAGGTTATGAACATAATTTATCTAAATTGAGCGGGCTCTTTTCAAGTAAGAACATTTACTAAATCTAAAGGAAAAATAAAAGTTTTATTAGGCGCGGCAAATGTTCCCAAAACAGCATGCCTCTCAAACATTAGCGGGTAACATTTAAAAAAAACCACCTCTGTAAGAATAACAAAACATTACGAGACAAACTAAGAACTGGATAGGCGCAAAACATTGTGTCTCTATGCTCCTGGACTCTATAGAAAGTTCTTTCAACAAATCTAAATTTTTTCGGAACAGCAAAGGAGAAAGAACTAACAAAAAAGACTAAATTGAGCATCCTTGTTACGGCATCCGCTTACAATCCACAAGATACTCAGTTTCACCTCGTAATGTGGGAAAAATTATAAAATTTTTCTTACATTTTTGCCTTCTTACTGTCCCAATAATTGGGTTTAATCTTATGAACATAATTTGTGTAAATTGAGCGGGCTCTTTTCAAATTAGAACATTTCCTAAGTCTGAAGGACAAAAAACCACCTCCGTAAGAATAGCAAAACATTACGAGGCCAAACTAAGAACTGGATAGGCGCA